TTCTGAATAACTACAACAAAATTGGAGTAGATTGCTCAAGTTTTTGGAAATTTCTAATTTTTTATCCCAAAACACCTGTTTTCGGACTATCACTACTATTTTATTGAGCAATATACAGGGTTAGTTCAAAGGGCATTTTATAGCAAAATACGCTGGTTTATCTTGCCGACATGAATCGCAAACCATTCCGTAAGATAAATGTTATTTTTATGCAAAAAAGTATAGGTTCCGTTTTTTCTTCAAAACAAATTCAAACTAAAACAAGACAAAACTTCTCATTCGTCGGTAAACACTTCGCATACCAATAGGTCTTCCGTGTTCTGCAAACCATTCATTTGCAATGGACCTGGTAGTGGAGAAACGGTCCCTTAAGGCCAATAATCTTAGGCGGCGATCTTCACGGTCTGTTGTTCTACGGCGGCGTCCAGTGCCCCTTGCTCTTTGCGTACGGTCTTCTCGAAGCCATGACTGACAACACCTAACCACAGTGTCTACACTTCTTTGCACTCTAACTGCAATTGCCCGAAAAGAAAGTCCAGCTTCCCGAAGTCCCACTATACGGCCCCTATCAAACTCACTAAGTTGACGAAATCGTACAGGTCTCCGTACTCTAGGCATCGTAACCGACCGTAAAGGATGTCAAGAACCAAAATCCGCCAACGTTGATTCTTTACTGCGGCTGAAATATTCATTTTTAGAGCGTAGGTGAATTAAAAAAAAAGCAGTATAAAAACCGGAATGTCCAACTGATAAGGCTGAAAATTTTTTCACTTGTTGTTTACAGTAAGATAAATACATTCACCAACTTTTATTAAAATAAAACCATTTAAACTGGGTGTTCGGATTTATATGTCACTTAGTATACATTTTAACCTTCAAATTCTATAAACCTTCAAAAATGTCGCCCCGCCTTGCGTATTTATTCTGTTCAAAGTAATCGAGATCGTTCTCGAACAGATCGGTCACCGCAGTGTTGCCGCAGCTTGTGTTTATTATGAGAATTTGCAAACTTTACCGAAGCTTCTATGATTTTTACACCTGTTTACCGGTAGCTCATGATCGACATTTTGGCAACCACTGTTATAGAGGATGGAGGGTTGCAAATGTTTCATCCTTGGTATATCAGTAGAAGTCACTTTGTTCTTAAGAATCTATTGATCCGCTATTACTATCCTTCTGCTAGGCTAGATTGAATAGTCATACGTTTGTTAAATTAGAACGCTGGTCAGTTCAAACCACGCCAATTTCGTCGACTGAAAAAGGAGCTATTTTTCCTCAACGATTTTTATTGTTATTTCATTCAGTGGTAGCTGATTTTCTTTCTACCTTTCCGTAAGATATCCGTTGGAATTTACGGGTTCTCCCCTTCGTCGAACCATGAAAACGCGGCTGCAAAAACCTATTTTTCGTTTGTGTCAGGAGACAAAAGTTGACGCAAATCCCACCAATCAAAAGGAAGGATTTTCGTAAAGCGAAAAATTCGACAAATCGAAAAGATGGATTTAAGGTCTTTTCGAAACATGGATCAAATCTGATACAATAGATTGACATTACTAAGCATTTTATTGAAAAGCAGTTTTCACTGCTGCTGTACAAATTCTGTTTATGGAAATCTTTGAAGGCGTAAATAAAACTAACAGGGCTATCTATCTTAGGTAGAAAACAGACGGATCGACTTTTGTCGACTCGACCGTCGAGTCGGCGGTCGAGTCGACGCATGGTGTAAATAACTTTATATATAATGAAACACACAGATACTCGACGCGGCGCCCCGCCGCTTGAAGTCGAGTCGACATATGATTTCCCCGCGACTTTGCAGCGGCACTCGACGCGGCATCGACACATCATGCCATGTTCTGAAGTGTATCAATTCAGACGCATTTTATTTCAAAATTCACACACGTAAGTACTGAATCACGCGATGGAATATGTTGGTTCACGGATTTTATAAATTCCGCTATCTTCTCAAATTAAAAGATATTTATTTTGAAACAATATCTTTTTTTTAATTTTGTATTCATTTAGATTTTAGGGATGGCACACGAAATAGACCCAGACCTCATAACAGTATTTTCTTTTCTTAATTCTTGTTCTATAGCAGTGAGAAGTTCATAAAAAGAAAACTGGGACATTCTTGTGAAATTGAAAAATTTTTCTTCGTCCTGTTTTAGCTGTGGCCACAATTTAGTAAAAAAGCCTTTTTCTTTGCGCTGTGAAATAATTGGATGAATCCAGAGACGCCTCCCTTTTTTTTTTCTTCATTCGTCTCCGGTAAAACAAGTACAGTAGCATTACATATTCATCATCTAGGTCTAGGTCCATTGCTTTTTTGATTGAACACTACTAGCAAACCTGCTCTCGTTGCCAGGGACCGTGGACCGCGTCGAGCTTACCGCGGATACGACACGCGACTGCCTCCTCGACGAAAGTGGTCGCCCCGTTTGAACAATTTTTTCGACCGTCGACTCGACGGTCGAGTCGACGAAAGTCGCTCCGTCCGTTTTCTACCTTAAGGAGCAGGATTTTTTGCACAGTACTGAGGTAAAATGAATATTCACTCGATGTTTATTCTGGTATTTTATTTATGTGTTCAAAGAATCACAGTATATTCAGATAAGAGATAGACCGGACATAAACAAGACCACGTGATCATCGAACGCTGTAACATTCGACAGGGACGTATTAAGAGTCACGCAGTACATATTTTAGAAAGTATATGCTGCTTTGCGTAACTTTGTAGTAAATTAGCACAATTCGATGTGTATACGATTGGTGATGGATATAGGATCATGTGGGGGTGGGGTAAGAAATATATAATGATGTAAATATACATAAGGGTTTCAAAATTTTCGCTTCGATTTCCAGCTTCGGATGCCGCCTGATGTTTGGTGAAATACAGTCGAATATAATCTCAAAATGGCGTTTAAATTAGCCTAAATTAAAAATAATCGTATATCTCTTAAAATTGCTTTTAGAATATTGATTAGTATATTTTTTGATTTCTAGGTAAATATGTAACCAAATTAAAACGTTCAAAACGTAAAAAAATGTGCATGGTTGAACATTGTCAGAAAGTAGATTCTTGAATAGGTTTTGCCAAAATGGGTTCAAAAATGTCATTAATTAATTAAAAAATACAGTAGCTTTATAATTACTTATAACTTACCGAATTTGATGAACGACATCTTTTATTGGAAAGATGAGCTTGATGAGCTTTCATCATCGCTACTGCCTGAAGCACCAACGTCAATAATGAATGGCTCGACTTGTTCCTCTAAAATATAATAATCATCAACCCATACTTTACTTGTAGTGTGTCCTGCGTTTACCCACGTTTCATCAAGGTAATAAATCTTCCTGTTTTGATTTCTATATTTCCCAATTTTTGTTAAATAATCCCTCCTCCATAGCACAATTTCTTCTCTATCCAGTAGTAAACTATTACGACCCCGTTTTTTCCATTTGAAATTTAAATGCTTCAGTAACGCATGGAAAGTTGATCGTTTGAAATTTGGCAACGTTGTATCTCCATTTACCTCCTGCAGTACTTTATCTATATAGTAGGTATTTCATTTCTAAAGAAGAATTCATGCACTTTCCTCCTAATCGCATGCTTATCAGCTTCATCCAATGATTTAACAATACTTTTGCGATGTTTACTGGTCATTGGCTCGAAAAAGGTGTGATTTTTTTGTATTGTCTTAACACATTAAACACTGATGCGCGACACACCCCAAGTTTGTGAGAAACCTTCACAACAATTTCTTTGATGGTTGATGCCTCGTTCTCCTCGCACTCGATCTTATATATATTCAAAATGACCTCTTTCATTTCTGCACTCAGGTGTCTTTTTTTAGAGCGTTTCCTAGGTGGACTACAGGAGTTTACAACTTCATCGGCAGTATCTGTACTACTGGGCATTTTGCGCAAGCAGTTGATAACAATAACAATCAATAACAAGGTATAACAATAACAACGACAAACTCAACAACTTAATAAGATAACAAACGAAAACGTCCAAAGAAATATCAAATTGCAATGATGCACACGACATACGTAACACGTCTGAACCTGAATGTGACTCTGCCTTGATACGACTGCTCTGCCGCTCGGCATAGGCATTTAATTGCGAATTGACCAATGAGGGCTCCTGTTTTACGTCGAGACGGCGGCGTTAGCGTGAAAATCACCCGAACCTTTTGTTTACATCCGGTCTATCTCTTATCTGAATATACTGTAATTAAGCACTTTTGTACAGCACCGGTGAGGTACTATTATTTTCAATATAAGCTCATTTAATTGCTGTCGTATCATTTGTATGAGATTTGTGCCCATGCTTCGAAGTATGGAGCAAATGCTTCATTTTATTTGGTGCAATTTATCACCATGGCCGCTAATTTAGTGTATGGATACAAATGAAAGAATAGGGTTTTTGTAGCTAAACCAAGTGATCTATGATTTAGCTCTTGATTCAATATAAGAAATAGAGACCCAATTTACACAAACCGCATAATTGTTCTCTAGTATCAGAGACATTGCACAAGAAATCGACCAAATTTATTCGATCCATTACTTTAAAGATGCCTTCTCATTGGTTGAATTTGTGTTCCACGCGTTTTATTGTGCCCCGGCTGAGTAAAAAATATTTCTACTCAATCTGTGGTTTCGTTGACGGCTAGTGATTCATAATTCTATAAACTATAAAATGGCAAGTAGACCACATCTACTTTACTTCCTGAATCGTCAGCCATCTAGCGAAGGTGACTGGGCTATTAAACGCGGGCTCAGATCACTAAGGCCCGGTTTTTCAATCGCAAGTTAACTTTTTGGTTAGTTAACTATCGCCAGGAAGTTAACTTGTAGTTACTTGCAAATGCGTTTTTCAAGTATTTTGACAGCGTCAGTTAACTTACCAGAAGTTCAACATATATTTATGCATCTGTGTCCCGTGTCATACGTTATACATGACAGTCCGATTGAATGAAATTTCTTAAAACAGCCAAAATCGAAATCCGGAAATTTCATTAAAAACGAATAAAACGTAAAACCTTTGTGGAGCAAGGTAAGTTTTTTCCAACATTGCTCGTACAAATGTTTAGAAGTAGACCCTATAGACGGCGTTATAGAAATGGTGATAAAAAGGTTGCAAATGCAATGTCTAATGAACACCAAGGTCAAAAAACGATTAAGTTGTGAATATCTGCTGAATATCGTATTTTCCACCTTTTTTATCATCATTCCTGCAATCTACAATCCAAAAATAAAGGGAACACACAATACCTCTATTCTTGTTGCTAAAATTTCTAAAAAACTGTTTTCTAGCAAGGAGAAAGAGATCAAAAAGAGAGCTCAAAATTTTTCGAAAAATGAGGAAATGATGCTCATATCATTGGTGAGTAAAAATAAAGATGTAATAGAGAGCAAAACAAGTGGCACAGTTATGTGTGCCACCGAGAGGCAAACACGCTACGAGATAAATTAAAAAACAAAAATCAAATTTGCTACAAACAAAAGCAATATAATCAAAACAGGAGGAGGTTCACCCCAATTACAAGCATTCGATTTGATTGATACACAGTTATAAGAAATAGAAGGTTTGACAAACAATTATGATGATGACTGTAGTGACCAAGAAGAGCTGGTTGTTGGACATGGCAAGTCTCATTGCTGTTGATTGAAGCAATTTTTTAATTATTCATTTTTTAGTTCCTGATGCAAAGAACTGATGACAGTGAAGTGGTCTTCAATAATGGGAAATGGAGCTCCTATACTCCCCAACAACTGAAGAGGAAAGCTATCATGTATGAAAACGGAACACAATAAAAAATATATTTCTGTTAACTAACTACTAATGGAAGAAAAGCTGAATTTTGTGAAACTACAAAAAGAAAAATTCATTGAAGAACACAAATGGAAATATATCAAAAAGAGGTTCAGCTGTTAGATTTACAGATCAATGCACTATATAAGTAGAAAACAAAGGATTTATTTTGTTAATTTCTGGAATATTTTCACTTTCACTCATTTTTTTTGTATTCCGCATTTTTGAGGACGATATTTTATTTCAATAATAAACTGTTTTCAGAAAATTATGTTTATTTTGATTCTGTAGTTACAAGAAATAGGAGATAATTCATATGTCAAGTAGATGAGAGCTATTGCGAAAGCTTTAGGTGTTCAAAAAGATCGAATGAGTGTCCATTTTGAGGCTTGGGACATCTTTTCTCAACTGCCGTGTGCACCTTTTTTGGGCACCAACAATTTTGGCCACAACTCTTATCCACTTGCCATGGATTATCACAGATCTTATACTAAACAACTTTCATCTAGTATCGAGTCATTCACTGAGCATTAGTGAAAGTATTGAATCGATTTACAAATTTGCAAAAAAATTATTAGTAAGATGCAGTTGATTTGGAGACCCCAGCAAAATCACCAGTTAAAAAAATTTCGATTGGCGTAATAGCGCAGTGCTAATAACAGCTGCTGTTGGGGCGTTAAGCAGTTATTCCTGGAATAACAAAGTCATGTAGAAATATGGAAATAAACAATAATATATACTTCTACCTGCTTGTAGGATATACTAAATCTTCATAGACTTCGTCCAGGAGAGTTTCAACAGTATTTTTTGAAAGGCGAAATCTTGCAAGGAAATCAAGGTCATCAAAGTAATTCGGCCGATGGCGGATTATTTTTGGCCTTCTTGCGTCTTTATCACTGCTATACGCATTCACGTCGTAATCCATAAACGTGTTTATAGCTTAAACTAATCGATAGATTGATATGGATTTGTTGTGATTTTTTGAACAAACGTCTGAATTTATGTCAAAGAAACGTCAGGCATTGCTATTTAACTACAGCCTTTCTAGTTAACTCATAGATGGTCTTCTGGTTAAAGTTAACTACCGTTTTACCATAAGTTAAGACCAAGGTCGTATTTAACCTGCGATTGAAAAACCGGGCCTAACAGTTCCAACTACTAGCAGTTATTTGCTTTCCGCAGTGGTTGATTCCTGTGTCATAGATGACGCTTTGTGCTGTCTTATTTCATAATACTACGTCTGGCCTTTGCATGGTACTTGGCCTCTCTCCATCCTACCTTTGTAGTTCGTTTCACACCTGTATGACATGGTATGATCGCGTTTTGTTGACAGATGCTATAGCAACCTACCAGGATAACAATTCCGAACCTGTGGCGATCAAAATGCTTTTTCCACATGGGGAGTAGCAGTAATCCATTCGCTAATTGACATGTCCCAGAGCATTCCATTCATCTTTGTTTGAGCCTCGGCGAAAATACCTTATCCGATATCTCCTAAATTGATTTCCCTTTTCACTTCCACCCTATGGCTTTTTCCTTTGAAAGCGAAAGAAAGATGTTTCCTCAACAGCTACAGCCGCTTTTATGTTTTTACATCCACCAGCTCAAATTCATCATGCCACCAGGCAGGTGGTTGTTACGCTTTCTCACTATCTCACCGAGTACGAAATGTGTTTGTGACACGTGAAGGATTTCCAGTAACACGTGGCAATATTTTTCAAGAACGGGACGGTTTTATTGTTGGCTTACATTATACATGAGCCACGATACGTTCAATTCCTTATAACTATAGTGGAGTGTTTTTGGTAGAATTGAAAAATGGCGTCACGTAGGTTTGACTGTACGTTTTCCGCGCAACACTTTCATCAGTTCATAAAAATTTTATTATACGTATTTTATATACGTATTAGCCAAAGTAACGTAAGTCACCAAAAACGATTTCGGAAAAAAACGTGTTTTTAATTTATCCTGGTTAAACTTTTTTAAATTGTGCAAAATTGACCAGGGTGTTTCTCTGAGGTCTAGATTTAATTAAGAAAAATGATTTTTGAAGTTTTTCTATAGTTTTAGTGGTGAATTGATACTTACGTTACTTTACGGTTTCAGAAGTCTTGATCAAAAATGTAACGTAAGTACACAGATACGTCAGTTTGGCGGCAAATTGTAGCACTTAAAGTATTTTGGAAAAAATTAAATACTATCGTTTATTATTAAAAAAAACACAAAATATCGTTACAAAAGAAAATATGAAATTCTTACTAGTAAAAAATATATATTTTTTTAAGTTTTGGAGCTTTCATCCTCATTTTCATCCTCTGCATCAGTTTCTGCTAAGTCATCTGGAAGAGAAGACTTACATTTTAATTTAAAGGATTCATCGTGAAACCTGGCAGGTATGACATGTAATTAACTAACGGCTGAAAATATTCTTGTACATCGCATTCCTGTTAAAATTGAACACCCACTGTCCCATTTGAGCTATCAGTACTTATTGGTACATTTATTTCTTCTTGCATAGTATGGTTACCATCATTTTCATAAGGACTCGAATTGTTAGAAGACAATAAAATTGATTGATCTATTTCGATTACGTCTTCATTTACTAAAGTAGTTTTTAAAATATTTTCGGAATTATCTAGATCAAAAATATTGTCACTTGAAATAATGGCTATCGGCATAGACCCGATTTCTTCCTCAGAATAAACATTATTCGATTCATCATTTTGGCTAAGAGCCGCCAAAATCCTTTTTGTTCGTGAACTGACCATAGACATAAACTGAAAGTAACCGAGCATTTATGTTTACAATGTTTCATAGCTTCTATAAAAATTCGAATAGAAACAAATACAACAGTCTTTCTCTAACTTCAACCGATTCATTCCTGTAAATTTCTCACAGGCTTCGAGGTTATGACAGAATAACTTCTAATAAATAAACGAAATTAAATATGAAATGGGAGTTTTATAGGTAGGTACATAAAATTAGTTAAGGTTTTAATATTCTTAAATTCTAACTACAAAGAATGTTTTTTTAACTTCAACCGATTCATTCCTGCAAATTTCTCACAGACCTTGAGGTTGTCACACAATCATTTGTAATAAATGAACGAAATTTTATATGAAATGGAATTTTATAGGTATGTACCTACATAATATCAGTTAAGATTGTAATATTTTTGAATTCTAACTATACAAAAATGTCGTTATTATTTACTTACCTAAAATCAATAATTAGTCGATGGTAGCACGAACCTAACACTGTCGTAAGCCAAATACTGACTGCGAAAATCTGACGTAAGTCGCAGAAACCGACAGGGACTTACGTTATTATGGCGGTAAAAAACGTTAGCTTGCATTTCTATGATGGAAATAGTGTTAAAGTTACGTTTCTTTTACGGATATGATTTAAAAAATTCTGGACATACGTTTTCAAAAAAAGTTAAAAACAAAGGTTTAAAGTAAAATCTAGGCTTCCTACACTTTGGCAGTACCTTCTCAATAATAAAAGCCTCACGTTAATGGAAAAATATGATTTTCACAAAAAATGTCACTTACGTTACTTTGGCAAAAATGCGTCGAAATATTGTCGTCCGGATTCCTTGCCTCCCCAGAGAATCTTCCGCTCTTCAATAAATCACTGGTACTGATATACAGGGTGTTTCAGAAAGACATGCCAAAATAACAACAAAGGTTCTTATAAGTATGGGCTCAAAAATGCTCCCCTAGAGGAAGTGCAGCATATTTGGGATACTGTAGGTAACTTGGAATACTTGTTTCATTTAATTTCATCTCTTTATTGGTGCTAAATACACTTGCGTGCTTACACAGGTCAAAGTAAAATTTAAAATGCGAAAGTGTAAAATTCCAAAACAATGAAATTTGTTCAAAAGAACAACATGAACAGAAAATTGTAAAAAATAATACTAACAGAAAAACTGTAAAAAGATATTATGAATTTAAAATAAATACAAAACTATAGAACAAGCACATCCGAACAAATTAACAAACAGAGTAGAAGTAATCAAGCACACTGCAACACCAACATTAGACATCCGAAAAGTTATTACTTAAAAAAACTTCGAAGTTGTAAAAGGCTTTCCGGATAAGGTACGCTTTAATTCTGTTCCTAAATGAGACGGTGCCAGACATTCTGAGTGCATCAGGAAGAACATTATAGAAGGGGATTCCATAGTAGTTAGAACCGTGTCTAGTTCTTTGCAGACGATGTTTAGGAATATCTAACTTATGCATGTTACGTGTGTTGTAACTATGTACATCACTGTGTGTCTTATAGAGATCTAAATTGTTGTGTACATAACATAAGCAGATAAATCTATAAACTGTAAAAAGATATTATGAATTTAAAATAAATACAAAACTATAGAACAAGCACATCCGAACAAATTAACAAACAGAGTGCAAGTAATCAAGCACACTGCAACACCAACATTAGACATCCGAAAAGTTATTACTTAAAAATTCTTCGAAGTTGTAAAAGGCTTTCCGGATAAGGTACGCTTTAATTCTGTTCGTGTTCCTGAATGAGACGATGCCAGACATTCTGAGTGCCACAGGAAGAACATTATAGAAGGGGATTCCATAGAAGTTAGAACCGTTTCTAGTTCTTGGCAGACGATGTTTAGGAATATCTAACTTATGCATGTTACGTGTGTTGTAACTATGTACATCACTGTGCGTCTTATAGAGATCTAAATTGTTGTGTACATAAGCAGATAAATATATATATATATATAGAGATGGAAGAGTAAGGATCCCTAGGTTGATGAATGCCTCCTTACATGGCTGCATATAACTCTGACCTACGATGACTCTGATGAAGCGCCTTTGGAGTGCAAATACCTTAAGCATATGCACAGAGTCACCCCAGTTCAAAATTGCATATGACATTCTTGAGTGGAAGTATCCATAATATGTGATTAGCAACTTATCACCAGAAACACAGCTTTTCAGATTCCTAATTAAATGAATGGTCTTGGATAGTTCCCTGAGAATACTGTTTACATGTCCCTCCCAAGCCATGAGTGTATCCACACTGTGTCTACGGTATTGACGTTATGACCGTGTCTCTGAAGCATAAATTGTCAGTTTATTTGCTAAGAAGCAATTTTCTGAATTTACTGAATATTCAATATTCGCAGAGAGAAGTAGATCAATTGATTTACTACTACAGAGCATTGTTGTATCATCGGCAAACAATATAATGTTGTTGTTTGTACTGCAATTGGGAAGGTCATTAATGTATA